TGTATAGTTGTGGGCATGTGACCCATTTCTTTATATACATAGCAACCATGTGGGGAGATGGGACCTTTACCCTTCTTCTCATCTCATGCCCTGCATGGTGTGAGGTCAGGTTAGATGGGGGTTGAGGTCAGGGAGCCTCCGAGTCCAAGGCTGGGCCCTGACACTGAGTTTTCACTCAGAGTGCTGCTTAGTAGCAGTCCTTGTCAGAAATGGGCAGGATTACTGTCAGAATGCTGTTGGAGTGCACATGCATGGATGTGCAGGTGGAAATTAGCAGCACATCCAGAAGTGCTGTCAGGGTTAGCAGAATGGGATCATGGCCTCAGTGACTCAAGGGGAGTGCTGTGCCCTGAGCTTGACATCTGGGGGAGATCCCTTATTTATGGAGTAGCACTTACGGCGAACTTTAAGCAAAACCTGCAGGCAGAGTGGGCCCTTTGAGGGAGCACAGACTTGGCAAGGATGGACTCAGAGGGGGGAAGCCCCTTTCTCAGAAGTAGAGGCTCAGTCCAGACAGGGGGGTACTCTAGTTGATTTCAGACTGAGGTCCCTGAAAGTATTTAAAAGATATAAATAGGCAAGAGGAAACATGGAAGGGCCAGTTGGTCCAGCATGGTCTTGTGCAGAAATGAGCAGGGATTGTCAAACTGAATAAAGGACAAGAGCCTGGGAAATGGAAGCAAGGAATGAATCAGTAAACAATAAGTGGCAAGGGTTATTGATGGGAAGAACAATAACTGAATGAGACCAATAACCTAGTGCCAATAAGGGGTGGATCAAGTGCTGATATTGGCAGTTAAGTGAATGAATAGGTAAAACATAAGAGACACTCAGCAAGAAGTGAATAATGTTGCCAAGTGGCAAAGATGGCCAAAGAGAAGTGGGGGTCTGCATGTGGCTCTGACACAAGTCCATAAAATGGAAAGTGGAGGTCAGCCTGGTGCCAACATGTCCATGAGACAGAGGTTGGTCAGCTGGTACTGTCACAGCACAAAGGTCCAGAGGGGAGTGGGAGTGTGTTGACCTGACCACAGAGGTGTCAAGGACAACCAGAAGTGGATGGAGGATGCAGAGGATGCAGAGGTGGGCAGAGGTACAGAGGATGTGGAGGATGCAGAGCAGGCTAAGGATGTGGATGCGGTGTGGCTGTGACCACATAGCAGAGTGATGGGTGTGGTTCAGATGGAGATGAGGCAGAGGTAGGCAAGGCTGAGTTGTGCCATGAGCCTAGGAGGATTGGATGCCAGGAGCACCAAGGGCTTGGGAACCGGAGGCAAAGTTGGAATGCTGGCAAGGTCCAGGGTCTGATCGTTGGCCAAGTCTCACTTGATAGGGCAGGGGGTCAGACATTGGATTGAGGGCTGGTGGGGTTGGGTTTCAGGTCAGCAGATTTGCCTATTGGCATTAGTTTGCCACTGATGGAGCCCTGGGATTTGTCAGCCATGACAGTTCTTCACTAGAGTGCGTGCGTTGCACATGTCCCCTGCACAGCTCTGAAAACATTTTCATTGGTACATGGAAGACAAAAAAAAAAGTACAAAGTAGTGAGGAGGGAAGAAACTCAGCAAAACTGCAAAAGATATGTCCCACATTGCCGCAAATTTTTCAGATTTTATTTTATATGGAACATCTTGATTTTATTTCTGGATGTCTTTACTTCATGTTGTTCCATGTTGCCATGAATTTTTTTTCGAATTTTTGCCTTAAAACCTTTACCCATGTTTGGAATCTCCAGATTTTAATACTAATTTAATCCATATTTATCTATGTATTTACTGTACATTGTAATAGGAAAAGCATAACCGAAAAGTGACTAATACAAAAGTATTGCTACTACTATTGCTATCTATGGTCCACACCCATTAACGAAAACAATAAAAAATGACTGATACAGCTACTTGAACCCATTTAGCTACATATTTAGCTATCTATTTATCTACCTATTTTATCTATTTTGTATGCCAAAGTCACATGGGAACAAAAAAGAGTTGCTCCCACAGGAGGGAGGTCCCAGTTTTGAGTGGGGTATTAGTACTTTTGTGCAAATGTCTGTGTGCGCAAAAGTTGTGGGAGGTGAAACTCATTCGCTTATGTGGATTTCCTGAACATATACACATGATTTAAACATAAACTTATCATATCTCTGTCAATTCTCATCCCTTTCTCCTCGGTTTTTTTTGATGGACGCGTCTCAATGTCTTTTACATTTCGTATTATTGGTCCAACTCATCGTTCGGCGATCCTGAGGAGATTATGGCGATTTTGCTCATTTCCCACACACAAACTGTATGGCATTAATCTTATATCTCGCTTAATACAGCACCAAATGTTTTATAACTTTGCGTACCATTTGATATATTATCAGCGCAAGTATTAGGTATTTTTACATATTTTTAAGACATCTGTGAAGCGCTGGAGGTGGTTTCCCATGCACAGATCATGCGCAGAACTGACACTGGATTTGTATCTCTGTCAGTTCTTGACCGTTTCTCATCAAGTTTTTTGCAATGGGCCCGTGCCAACTTTTTATCTATTTGGTATTGTTAGTGTAAGTCGTGGATCAGCGTGTATGAGGAAATAGCATGACTTTTCCACAAATAGACCATGTACATTAGTATCTCTGTCAATTATGATTCGCTCTTCGTTGGGTCTCATTTAATGGGCTTGTACTAATGCCCTTGTTATTTGTTATTATGGGCGCACATCGCGAGTCAGCGTTTATGAGGCAGTGGAACGTTTTTTTCACAAAAAAAAGCATATACATAAGTATCTCTGTCAATTCACATTTGTTTCCCATCATATTTTGCAAATAGGCTTTCACTAACTCTTTTGTTATTTGGTATTATTGGCACACATCACAAATGAGGATGTATGAGGCAGTGGGACGGTTTTTCACAATTTTTCACAACAAAAAAGCATGTACATTCATATCTTTGTCAAGTCTTGTTTGTTTTTCGTTGGGTCTTTTCTAATGAACGCCTACAAACGTCCCCTATACTTTATATTATTGGTGCATGTCGTCAAACAGCCTGTATGAGGCTGTGGACACTATTTCCCATGCACAAAACACATGCTGGCATGGGCCACCACTTGTATCTCCCTCAGTTCTCAACCATTTACCTTATAGTTTTCTGCAATGGGATCAAGAAAATGTTCTCTCCATTTGTTATTATTGCACCACGACAGGTTATCCAGTGCAATTGTTAACATTGCAAAACCCCTTACAACTCCCATGGGTAGCAAAATTGTATTGCTTATGAATTTAATTTGTATTGAATTTAACAATTGCATCAGATGACCACACAGCAACTAAATGGGTGAACACATCAGATTCAGTGTCAGTTTTCACGTAATATTAACACCAGAGAGTGACCTGCTGTGCAGGTAATATTCCTCGACTCTGTTGGGGATGATGTCCTCTGCATTCTTATCCAAATAGCTGTCCACCAACACATAGTCATTGAAATGCAGGTCCTTGTCAGTTGATGAGTTGTAGTATCAGGAAAGTGCATCTGCCACTTTATTTTTGTGGCCTTCCATGTATTTTATTTCACAATTAAAGCTTGCAAAAAAGGCTTGCCATCTCAGGTGTTTTCCTGAGTTGTGGTTTTTCACTTTGAAATATTCCAAAGCTTTATGATCCATGATTACTGTGAATTCACAGCCTCCCATGAGATCATCCTGTCATCTCATGAGTGCCTCAAGCTCATAGGCAAAGTACCTTGGTGAACTTTTTGGACATGAATGCAGCAGGGCAGCAGGTCTGCCACTTTTGGCCTTGTCCAATTAGTGCACCCATGCCCACTGGGCATGCATCTGTTATAACCCAGACATGGAGATTATTCATCTCTGCTTCCAAGAGGTGTTCCACTGGACAGGCTTCAGGGTTGGAGCCCTACATGGGAGATGCTTGATCTCATCAAAGCATTTCTGGTGGAGTGGAGTCCAACCCAACCCCCCCCCCAACCAACCATGTGTAAGAAAGAGATGGCTGAAGCATGGAACCTCTGCTGGATGAACACCCTGAACCCACCCAAATCCAGTTTCCATGCAGCAAACCAACTTTCACCAAAAATAAAGCCCACAAGATGATTCAGCACATAGACAGGAAAACCTTCAGTTGAACCACCCAGTTCCAGACAGGGCACACATATTATCCAAGTGCCCCCACATCAGCAGGTACCAACACAACCTTGGCTGCAGCAACCAGACCAAATTCAACACCTCATGGGCAAGGTGAAGGGCATAGAGAGACTTGCATCCTTCATCAAGAAGTCCAAGATGGGCAACAAACACAAATGAGACACAACTGGCCAACCCATGAGACCCACCCCTGAATGATGGATGTCCTGAACAACCACAGAGCAGCAGGAGTAGAGCAGAAGCAAGGAGCAGAAGGACAGAGCACTATTACTATTTTATATTTTCTTTTCTTTTCTTTATTGTACCAATCCCATGACAATACCCACAGACATCAGAGGATTGCTGACACCTGAAGATACCAACCAAATGTTTAGATTATCCCCTCATGTATGCTACAGTGTCAAGATGGGATAGCTGCACTGCCACATCATCACAAGGCTGCAGGGTAATAAGAGAGACTTATCATCATCTGAATTTCTAAGCATGTGCGCATGTTACCTCATCTCTTAACCCATCTGCAACAATGCACCACAATGCAGCTACAATGGTGCTCATTGAACACATAGCTCAAGATCAGCTCAAATATGAACTTCTGTTCATTGAACAAGTTAAAGTACTTCAAACTGATCAAGCAAGATCTGATGCAGCACAGGCAAAGGTCCTGCAGCTGCCACTTCTTGCAAAACCTGGTCAACACTGGCAAGACAAAGTTGACAAGTACCTTGCATGCTGTGACAAGATGTGTCAGTTGGTGCCACAGGATTTTGAGGAGTTGAGTTTATAAATCATTGTCCATCTTTGCTATCTGACAAATGTGCAGTCATGTTAAAATCAGGTGTGCAGCTTATTCAGCTCTCATGTGTATCAGGAAACACTTCATCCTCTCACCCCACACAGAGGGATCTGGAGTATATGAGGTCATTGGGTACCACAGGAAGAGGGACAACTCAGTCGAATATGATGTGCTTTTTGATGATTGTGACACCCCAATCTTGCTTGAGGTGAGCAAGATGATGAGAATGTTGGAGGACAGCCTTCACATACCTAATTGATCATGATATACAAAGGCAGTTTATCTTCTCATTCCCTTACCTATTGTTCATCTCTTTGCCTCCTAGCCTTTCTCTCAAGTTGTTGAATTTTCCACTATGTATTTATTACTCTTATCCCTGTGAGAACTATTCAATTCTGGGGTTATAGGCTAAAGCCAGCAACTCTCCAGCTTACCATGTGCTGACGATCCCCTCATATGTATTCAGTTGTACTACAAGTTCTCAGTTGTGCTGGGATAGCCACACTGCCACATGTCAAAGCAGCTGCAGACAACAATAAAACCAACAACTTGTGGTGAAGGCACAGAGGCTCAACCTCTGAGGGTGCTCCTTGCTTGGCTAATGCTCATAGCTCCCTTCCCTACCAAGCTGCACCTGCCTTTGTACCCTTGCTGTTTGTGCTGATGACTCAGGAAGAATATGACCAACATCAGCAAACCTGAATGCAGAGGTCTCAGAGGTCTCAGAGCTTCAGTCCTTTGAAATTGCAGGTCCCCTTCTCTCAGAGCTCTGAAAAGTAGTCAAAGCTCTGAGAGCTCATTTGTACACAGGGGACAATTATCTATATGAGCTCCCTGAGTGTTTAATTTACCTGATATTAAAATAAAAATTTAAGAGCATTGACTCTGGCATCATGTGACTAGTCACAGCCAAGTCCCTACCATACAGGAAACTGAACAAACTCAGCTTAACTTTCAGCCCCAATGCAGCACTACACACCAAGGGTATATAGCCAAAGTAATATATAGACCAAATTTAGGGATATGAATACATGAATTACTTAGTGAAAATGAGTGGGGAAATGGGGGGGGGAAAGAGGGGAAATTTGAGGGGGAAATGGGGGGAAATGGGGGGGAATTGTCAGGGACTGTGTGTCAGTTCGCGACGATAAGGGTGTTCCCGAGAATCCTAGTCGTTGTTAACACTGAAGTGCCACCTTCAGCAGAGATAGGGCTTATATACATGGACACCGCTATCCACTAGAGTGCGGCTACAAACGAGATAAGAACAGCCGATAGAATGACGACATGAAAAGATAGATATTCATTCGGGTAATCGTAAGCGAGGTGTGGGAAAGGGGTGACATGTGGACGGAAGATAGAAGTGGGAGCTAAGCAAAAGCTAAGCGAGATTACCTGCGTTCTTCGGATCACTCCGGATCGTCTTACGGCAACTCCCTTCCGGCATAGGGGGTCAGGGTAGCCGGTTAGGCCGTGCCCTGACAGGAATGAGGGAAAAATTGAGGGGGGAAATTTGGAGGGGAATGAAGGGGAAAATGAGGAAAATGAGGGGGAACTGGGGGGTTTGTAAAAATTTGAAAAAAAGTCAGGGAAAATTAAGGAAAATTCAGAAAATGGGGGACTTTCTAAAAAAGGAGAATGTCCAAAAAATCAGGGGAAATTAGGGGAAAAATCGGAAATTTTGGGATAAGTTAGGGAGTGATATTTCAGGAAATTAGGAATAATTAAAATCACTTTTTTGATAATTCAATGTGCATTGGAAAGTGCCAAAGTGGGGCAATGTAGCAATGTATGTTTCAGTGTTAAAAAAGTCTCCCACCATGCTTTGGTGAGCCAAATAACCATGGCTTTTGACCATGGGAAATTGGGTGTCAAAGGCTTGGATGATATTGGAAGGATACATCAGTTTTTTGTCTGCTTTATTTTTAATTTACTTCATTTGGAACACTTTTTTAAAACTGATTTATACCCTACATAACATGCATGGTTACATTGCCACACTTCAGTGCGTTCCAATTCACATAGAATCATCAAAATTGGTTGAGTTTTGAGCAAGAAATAAATTGCAAAATTTTGAATTTCAGAGTTTTCCTCAAATTTTGTAAATAGCAATAAACAAATAAGGTGCTGATTTTAGTCAATAAACAAGGCATATATAATAATATTGTCAGGATCTGGACCCCAGCTGGGAGTGGCCGGAGGGCGAGGCCGAGTGTGGAAGCTGGGGTACTCTCCCCAGGTGCTAACTCCTCGAAGTCGCTGAGGGGACTGGCCTCAGCCTTCACAGGGAATGAGCTGAGAAGAAGGGTAAGCTTCTCAGCCCCCTGTGAGGCCGACACAAAAGGACCCTAGGAACTATACAGTTCCCGCTTGCTGCCGACTTTCCATAACGGGTTCACGCGCGCGCGTCATTATGTGAAACAGTGGGGGGAAGGATAAGGGGAATGGGGAAATGTGGAGAGAGGGTGGTTAGGAGAAGGGTGAGGGTGTCTGAGGGTGAGTGGGGTCAGGGCTGTGCCCTGACAAATATATAATAAAGTCAGGTTGAATATATTGTTCTATTCAGTTTTTGTATTGTTCTATTCAGTTTAATTAACGTAAGCAATGCAGTTCTCTGAGCCGTGGGACCTGTTTCAATGTTAACAATTGTACTAGATGACCTATCATGGTGTAATAATAAAAGATGGAGAGGTTGTTTGAGCGATTCCATTGCAAAAGACCCGATGGAAAACGGTTGAGAATTGAGGGAGATACGAGTGGTGGCCCATCCCAGCGCGAGGTTGTGCGTGGGAAACAGTGACCACGCCTCATACAGGCTGTTTGACGACGCGTGCTAATAATATTAAATGAGGAGATCGTTAATACAAGCTCATTGAAAAAAACCCGACGAAAAACAAATGAGATTTGACAGAGATATGCATGTACATGTCTTTTGTGTGTGAAAAAATGTGAAAATCCGTCTTACTGCCTCATAGACCCTCATTCGCAATGTGCGCCAATAATATAGAATGGCGATGGCGTTAATACAAGCATGTACGAAAAGAAACGACGAAAAAAGAATCATAATTGACAGAGATACGAATGTGCATGTTTTTTTTGGCGAAAAATTGTGAAAATCCGGCCCACTGCCTCATGAACGCTAATTCGCGACTTGCACCAATAATATCTAATAGTCAGGGGGTTGGTACGGGCCCATTGAAAGAAACCCGACGAAAAACGAATGGAAATTGACAGAGATACTAATGTACATGCTTTATGTGTGGAAAAAACGTTCCCCCTCCTCATTCACGCTGATTCACGACTTTCACCAACAATGACAAATGGAGGTGGAGTCAGTACGGGCCCATTAAAAAAAACCCGACGGAAAACGGTCAAGAACTGAGGGAGATACCAATCCAGTGTCAGCTCCGCGGCTGATCTGTGCGTGGGAAACGGTCCCCAGCACCCTATAGATGTTTTAAAAATATGCAAAAATATTAGGTACCTGCATTAATACTATATAAAATGGTTCGCAAAATTCCAGGCCATTCGGCCCAGTATCAAGCGAGATATAATAAATTATGTGATTACTTTTCACTTGGTACCCTCAAAATCGCAGAATATCGAGTTGAGGTAATAATACAAATTGTAGTGGACATTAACGCGCGCGCGTTAAAAGAAACCCGAAGAGAAATGAACAGGAACTGACAGAGATACCAATCCAGTGTCAGCTCCGCGCTTGATCTGTGCGTGGGAAACGTTCTCCAGCACCTCATAGATGTCTTAAAAATATGTAAAAATGTTGGGTACTTGCGTTAACGCTATATAAAATAGTACGCAAAATTACAGGTCATTCGGTTCAGTATCAAGCAAGATATAATAGGTTTTGTCATTAATCTTCACTTGGACCCCTCAAATCGCGCAATAATGAGCCAGGGCAATAATAGTAATTGTAGAGGGCAATAATACGCGCCCGTTAAAACAAACCCGAAGAGAAACAAATAGGAACTGACAGAGATACGAATGTAGTGTCCGCTCCGCGCATGGTCTGTGCGTGGGAAACGTCTTCCAGTGCCTCATGGATGTCAAAGAAAAATATGAAAAAATGTTAAAAACTTGCGTTGATAATATATGAATTAGTGCGCAAATTTATAAAACATTTGGTCAAGTATCAAGCGAGATATAATAGATTACTATACAGTGTGTGCATGGGGAATGCGATAAATCGCCATAATCTCCTCAGGATCGCCGAACGACGAGTCGGACTAATAATACAGCATGTAGAGGACATTGAGACGCACCCATGGAAAAAAACCCGATGAGAAACGGATGAGAACTGAGAGAGATATGATAGATTTATGTGAAAATCACGTGTATATGTTCAGTTTGAGGAAATTCACGTGAGTAATTGAGCGTAACCTCCCACAACTTTGTTTGCGCACAGACATATGCGAAAAAGTACTAATACCCCCACTCAAAACCGGTTCAAACCCCCCCATGGGAGCAACTCTTTTTTGTTCCCATGTGACTTTGGCATGTAAAATAGATAGATAAATAGATAAAATAGGTAGATAGGTAAATAAAAGTAGATAAATAGGTAAATAAAAGTAGATAAATAGGTCATAATAACCGTAAATAGTAATAAATAATAACAAATAATAAAATAGTAGTAGTAGTAGTTGTTGTATTAAATTTTTTTTTTTGGTTGTTTTCACTAATTAGTTATTAATAAGTAATGATAGTATTGTTGTGTTAGTTATTTTTTTTGGGTTGTTTTCGCTAATTAGCAAATATAATTAGGTAATAATAGTAATAGTGGTGTTGTATTAGTCATGTTTGGTTATGTTTTCGAAATTGGCATCTACCATAAATGGTGGTACTGTTGTATTCTCTCTCTTTTTCTTTGTATTTCGCTATTAGCATGTAAAATAAATAGGTAAATAAAATTGAGTAATTAAAATGTGGAGCAGAATCAAATGAAGGGTTCCATATAAGGTAAAAATTTGAGAAAATTCACGGCAACATGGCACAACATGAAGCAGAAACATCCAAAAAAAATAAAACTAAGGTGTCCTGAATAAAATAAAATCTGAAAAAATTGCGGCAATGTGGGACAACAAAGGAAAATAAATTTTATATAAAAAAACATCCAGAAAATTCATGGCAACATGGGACAACATAGAATAAAAGATAGAAAAATAAAAGGAAGGTGTGCTATATAAAATAAAATCAAAAAAATTCATGGCAACATGGGGAACACTGTTTTATCAACTTACAAAGGAATTCCATGTGATGGGAGGTGGTTGGGGTGGTGGATTTGGAGAAATGGCCAGAAAATGAAGAAAA